GGCACAGTGATTTAATCTAGAATATTATCGCAACACCCGCAGAACACATTAGAGGTGCGCTCACTACACGCTACTCTTAACTGCTTGATGTTTTCAGTCTGTGTGTAGTAGCGTAAAACTTGGTAGTAAACATCACCCCTGCACCGCACTAAAACCGTTTTCCCCTCGCAGGGATTTTCTCCTGATCTGTGGACAGTACTTGCTGTTAAGTTGATAATCCGCAATAGAACTCTAATTGAAATTTTCCGATATCACAGTGAACAGAAATTACCTCTATCAGGTCACGAACAAAGGTCGAATTGTGGTTAGTGAGACAGTCTCCAACTGCGTGTTGTTAGACGCTACTTAAGTGTCAGGAGATCAAAGAAAGAACGCGCTTTTAACTTCCAGAACACAAATAATGTACCGAACGTTGTGGTTCTAGTGTTTCGTGTTCGGGAGGTCTCGTATCCTGACTGGGTTTTTTCGTGGTTTTGCGCAATCTCCCTACGCAGATGCCGGAATAATACTTTAAATTAGGCCACTACCGCTTCATTCCACTGCTTTCCAACTCGTTTACACCCATCATCTCATTCGACACTGTCTTGTCTATTAATATAAATAATGAACATGTAATGTGTGATTATTCTTAGCAAAAAGTGAATGTACGTATTAATTTTCTTAGAGCTTAATTGAAGGGAGAATTTCTGTACTTTTGTACAGTAACTGGATTTTATAACATTTTTTTATTTCTCCTTTTGACAGATAAAAACAGTGAAGGTAATATGGCCAATCTTACCAAGAAAATAAACGATTCATTGTGAAAGGTTAGTTTGATAAACTCAAGAAATTTATTAATGCGATTATATACGATACAGGTCTGAAAGGGTTTACAGTTTTAGTAAGAAAGGATACAGGTTGAGTCTCCATGAAACTTAATTTTGTTTTAAGACACCAGTCACTATCAACTCACGAACACAATCTAAACAACCCAGGAGCCTCTGTAGAATCTGACGGGATACGTGTGATTCAAAATTAAGCTATTAGGAGAATAGCAAATTACGATTATTTCAGCGGTACGTTATCAGACTTCCCTACCTACTTCTCTCTGTGTCCCTCTATACGCTCCTCCAGTTTGGCCCAAACCTTTTGAATCACCCTGTATAGTGTTGCATATTCAAAGGAATTCTCATATTTCGTACTCCTTCCTCTTATTTACCACACAATCCGAATGTAGTTCAATGGAACACAGGACGTAACATGTTGGTTAGTTCATCAGTATACTCGCTGTTTGCTTTTAATTCTATTTTAAAGACTAACCATGAAAGAATTCTGTTCCTGATTGCGTCAAGAACCCAGTGTAATTTAATTAAGAGATATTTAGTGTCACGAGCAGGGAATTTATATAATGATTACGAGCTTCGAAAGTGTGTTCCTTACCAGAATACACAATTTCCTCATGGATTCGTTGCAGCGTGCGTTTATAAGTATTAAATCCGTATTGTTCGATACTTCCCACTTGGTTGTCATTGAAATGTCTCAAGTATTATTTTAAATTTTGTGGTTTGAAAACAATACTATAAAAGACACAATAAAGTCGTACATTTAATTAGATACATTATCAGAGCAGCTATTAAATTCATTCATTACGTATCGCATGTATGCATACATGTATATTGAGTTTTATTAACACGTCATTAATTCTGTACAGGATATTATTTTAATACCAGCTAATGTGACGCTGATTTACATGATTCGTGTGAGAATATTACTACAAACAATGGAGTTTTGTAGGGCAAACAGTCGGAATGTGATTCATCATAATAATACGTGACTCAACCTCATGAACATGTTAATATAATTCTTCGCTGTGGCTTCGTGCATGTCGTAGTCTCAGCGACATTGCTTTTCAAAGGTTAGGCCATTTCCCTATAAGAATGCAGGCGAATGAGAACGAAATATACCACATGTTGAATAAAAGTATCGACTGTGATCCTGTGCGCGCGTGTGTTATGAATTTAAATTTTGAAAGATATATTTCAACATTGATTAAAGAAACACGTTGACAGTCCGTCTACACCAGTGGTATTCAGCCTTTTTTGTTCGCGTACCCCCAGATATAATTTCTCTTCAACTTTGTACCCCCAAAGTTGTTGGTGTGTAATTCAAGTTAAACATAGTATATAATCTACATCTAAAATAAATTAAATAAATTAAATTACAGATTATTCAGTGTTTATCATAAAATAATATATATATTTTTTTAAATTTCACGTACCCCCTGAGATGTCTTCGCGTACCCCCGGGGGTACGCGTAACATTCGGACGCCACGACTGTGTGTGACTTCGTTCGTTAGGTTGACAGTCCGTCTACACAACGATTACTGATTGTAGCTTCAACGTTTAATAAGAATCCACTGCATGTTTCGATCTTAATTGGTCATCTTAAGGTGGTTCTCTTTGAGTGTTCGAAATTAATAGACATGACTGCTAATTTGTATACATATTTTATGTTATTGACTTCACCACGTAATGGACTGTGTCTTAAGCAGCTTACCTGTTTTACTAGAGTGGGCTATGCAGGTGTAGTTACCGGTGGAACGCTGTAGTTGAACTGAATTGGTTGGTGGATGTTGAGGGGTAGATCTGGGTGGTTGGGGGTTGGAGGGGGGTGGGTGGAGAGGACGGTCTAGGTATTACTGGAGTTTTATCAGGATTTTGTTGCTGTCTGGGTTTGTTTCTTTTAAATGAATGTACGTGGAACTTTTCTGGTGTGTCTATGTAACTCCCGTTTTTGGCGTCTTCGAGGAATTTCATTGTAACTTCTAAAGTGTTCGTTCTATAGACTCTGTTGGGTTTATTACCTTTTATATCTCTGTTTATACGTTATTGAACCTGATTGTGAGATTTCTACCTGTTTGTCCTATATAATGTTTATGACAGTCTTGGCAAGTTAGCTGGCAAATTCCACTTTTGTTATATATTGTCTGTTGTTTTTGTCTTCTGTTTTAAATGTCTATATAAACTAATATTGATTGCTGTCTTTTTGAAGAGATTTGTGATTTTTATTGGGTCTGTCTGCAGTTGAAGGATAATTTGATCGTATTAAGTTTGAGGAGATATTTTGTATGGTGTGTGTGTGGGAGGGAATACGGTGTTGTGAAGAATGATTTTGATGGATTATATTTCTATATATTTTTTGTTATTTATGGGTATGTGTATGCTGTGTTTAATGTATCGTTTATAACTGATCTTTTACGTTCTTGAGAATGCCATCAGTTATTGGGGATGAATGTAGGTTGTGGTTTGTTTTATAAAGACGTTGTATTCAGGTTTTGGTTATTTTTCTTGGTGGTTAGATCTAGAAATTTGATGGTATTATGTTATTTTTCCGTAGTAAATATAAGTGGAGAGTGGATAGAGGTAAATACTGACGGCCTATGTTCGATACTGGTAATGCTTTGAGTATCTTCAACATTTCTGAAATATCCGGTGATGTGAAACTGTCGTAGGATGTTAACTGTTTGATTGTGTTCCATGTATTATAAGAAAAGTTCTGATAAGAAAGATTAAATTGGGGAACCCATGGCTAAGCTATTTGTTGTTACACGTAGCCCTCGATTTGCACCGATTCAATTTGCGCCGATTCAGAATAACGCCAATTTTGAGACCAGCAAGTCAAAAAGTGAAAAAATATATTTTACTATTATAACGTTTTAAAATGTATCTCGTACTGATTCTTATACTAAATCGTAATTCTTACATCGCTGATTTTGAATAAAAATTATAAATATAGTAATCTCTGCAATTACGTATGTTTCGTTAACGCGAATTTGCTCCAATGAGATCGATGAATCGGTAAAAGCTGTTTGTGAAATGCAAACTTTTGCATATGCGAGTTTGCTCTTATGCAATTTAATTCCTGGCGCTTTAAACTTTCAAAGGACTAATTTAATCTCTGCGGAGGTACCGGGGTTATTTTTACTACGCGACTTTCTATAGGTCGGCGTCTTACGTGAATGCAACTATCGCATAACAGCAGAGATGACTGTACACATCAGTCACATGAAAGAATCGCAGTCAATCGCGAGGACCAACGAATTACCTATTTTAAGTGTATAAAATATATTTTTGAAATTCCCTTAATTTTATTTACGTTATTTCAGAGCTTTAAATGTAATGCCATTATATTACTCGTCAATGTTTGGTTGCCGGGAACTCACGTCATTGACTTCCCATTTATTTACATTATAAAACAGTTTCAATTTACGCCGATTCCGTTTACGCCGGTTCGTCCAGGAACGCATTCCCGGCGTAAATCGAGAGCTACCTGTACTTCGATGTTACTTCTCATATCACTCTGTGGCCGATAGTGCGATAGCAATTTTTGCCCAGATCGATTTGGACCATCTCTTTGCAGGCAGGCATTAATGATATTTTGGTTATTGCATGTTGCTGTTATGCTTTTACCATAAGTTCGGATAATTTATAACTAGACCTTTTTCCGATGTTGTACCGAAGATGTCATAAACTTTGACTGGTTTTTTTGTTTCTTGCATCAAAGTGTTGCTTCAGTTTGCTTGGAACCACAGGATTGTTAGGTTAGGTTCTCTTTCTACACACACACGACAGTCACGAATCGGACATTATCACCAAACCATAACAAACCGAAAGCCAGGGATTTATCACTTTGTTGCCGACACACTTTATTTGATTTCTCTTTTACCTGGGTAATTACTTTCACTTTACGTGCTAGGACTGGTTCGTGATATATATCTTACAGTGATTTTGTCTGTGTTGATACATGAAATAGGCAATGAAAGTAAGTCGAAAATCAGATATTTGACAAGCAGTGTTCAGTTTTCAATCTAATGAGCACATCTGTGATTGGCTGACCGCTCGCCACTGGACCCAAGGTTCGCGGCCGAGGTCGACAGATTTTTAAGGGTAATAAAAAATCAGTAGCACAACTTACTTCGGAGGGGAAGTCCCATGTCGTAGATTTATGGCATGTAAAATAACCTTACGAGCATGAACGAGATGTTTCGTAAGCAAATTGAGCTGCCATTTCTCATCCATGTCTTTGGTAGAGGCCTTATGATAGGCTGATAACTCGTTCAAGAAGTCCCTACCAAATGTCTAAAGAAAAGATCAGGAACCTCTGAAAGAGGCCCCTATGCTCCACGTAGCAGACAAAAAGGGTATATGATGATGATTCTTGATCTCAGCACTAGATGGGGATGAATGGCCAGCATCACGCCCCTACCGTGCTTTACCCCTGAGATAGATTCTACAGAAAGACTTTGCTTTGTGCATTCAGGCCTTCAAGGGTCTAGAGTTGTAACACAACTACACCAGCCAGTTTTGGGGGATGCAGTAACTGCCTCTGAACTGTGTTCTGTTCATCACCAGTTATACATGGTCAGATCATCAGTTCAGAAATTTAGATGTAGATGACATGAATATTCCTTACTGTGTTTGCTTCCAGATGATGCTTATGATGCGGAGTCATCATATGCTGACTGATGTGATTTTGGAAGTTGGGGGAGAACTATTCCATGCACACAAAGTTGTCCTAGCTTCAGCAAGTCCCTACTTTAAGGTATGGAATATTATTAATTGCGGAAGATATTTATGTAAGAAATACGTGTCAGATTTGGAACTGCATATAATTTTTTTCTCTTTACTTGTTATCAAAGAGAGCATAATGCCTTAATCTAGAAATTCAGAGGCAAAAACCCTGTTTTTTAAAATTATGTAACCAGCTGCATATCACGAAAGTAACAACATGCATCAGACTTGTACTTGCATGTGATGAGGTCTTCTCCTATTATACACTAATCTTGCAGAGAATTCCAGCTGCTTTTGCTTTCTCTTTAGCCATAAATTTGATGGTGCCGCACTGTTCTACACTCAGAGTGTGTCCGACACCATTTTGTACTGCTTCCAATGTGAAGATGCATAGAGTATGTGCTCCCATCTGCCGTGAAGGGTATTTCGTCATTCAGGTGCAAACATATTTTGCAATAAATAAAAAAGAATTCCAGGTGAACCTTGAACCACTCTCATAGTATAAAAATTGCATGTTAAGCAAGATAAAGTTGCGTATCTGTTTTGATAGTGTCAATACAATTATATTGTTTTCATTCTAGCCAGAAAAGTCGTGTACGTGATCGTAAGATCGGTGTCACATATTAGCACACATGGAAATTCTTAAATAATAAAATTATGATTTGGAAGAACCTTCCATCCTTATAGTCAGGTTACTGCAGAAGTTCTTGGGTTAATTTCAGCCATTCAAATGACATTTTAAAATATTTTTGTGTTTGTTATTAATGATTAAATGAAATGAAATTCCTCTGTTGGGACATGCACATTTAGAAAAAAATATCATATATATGACCTCTTATTGTTATGTACAGTGTCCTATCATTATTAAACTCTGCTTTAATAACTGCTGATCTGATTCCTTTATGTATAAAATATTCTGTACCAGGTTACAGTTAACTTTCTTTTGTCTATAAAAAATGTGTATAATCATTTGCTTTCTCAATGTCACACTTGCCCTACCTGATCTCCTGATCTCTCATTAAGTGTGAAATATACATCACTATATTTATTGCCGCTGATTTTGGTAGCCTTGATCTGTAAAAACTTATGAAATTACATGCTCCAAAAAGTAGTGTTGTGTAGATCATTTCGATGAATCTGACAAAGTGTAAGGTCCTGTGTAACATTTTGTAATGTAACACTTATGTCGCCCTTGGTGGACTAGTGGTTAGCGTGCTTGCCACTGGACCCAAGGTTTGCGGGTTCAAACCCGGCCGAGGACGATGGATATCTAAGGGTGATAAAAATCCGTAGCACAACTTCCTTTGGAGGGGAAGTAAAGCCAGCGGTCTCATGTCGTAGATTTACTTCATGTAAGAGAATCTTACGAGCATGAACGAGATGTTTTGGAAGCAAAATTCAGCGGCCATTTCTCACCCCCAAGTTTCTCCTGATTCACTACTAGATGGCTCTAGTAGACAAATCAGGATTGAGTAGAAATTGTGCAGAGGCAGTGGGCTTGTCACTCACCAATAAATGCACACTTCAGAAACAAAGAAACCTCCCACATGGGAGGAGACCAAGGTTTGATTCGGGCTGTTTCGCCATAGGAAAAGAAGAAGAAGAATACTTCCTTGCAATGACACGTTGTTACTTGTATATTTATGTAGAAGTTAAGTAAAGTAAATTAAAGTAAAGCGTCCAGCTACATGCCTATGCAGGCACTTGGGGGGAGCGGAGGTATAGCTCCTACTCTTTCTTGACCTCGGCACCAGATGGGGTGAGTGGTCAGCAGCACTCCCAACAGTAATGTAGAAGTTAAGAGAATCTTAAATTTGTGGTATGTTTGTTACCATCAATCTGGCCTCATATCTAAATATGCAGAGATGAATATTCACGAAACTGTAACCTAACCTAATCTGTCTATGTGAGTGTGAAGCTAGGTTTCTAACTTTAATCGTAGAACATATATTAAGGGTTTCTGAGAACTGGGTCCAGAGGAGAATGTCTGGACCTAAGATGGAGAATATAAAGTTAGGCTGAAGAACATTTTGCAAGGAGGAGCTTCATAATTTTACTCTTCACCAAACATTATTAGGGTGAGATACCAGATTCTCATGGTGGTGATTATGAAGATGACTGTCTTCTATAATGTTCCATGTAGTCTTGTATAAATTTACTGATATATCAAAGGCGCTTGCTACCTCCATCATCAGAGTGATGAGAGTGATGAAATCAAGGGATATGAGATGGGCCAAGCATATAGCATACATGAGATGGATGCAAAATAGCTGAATATTTCAGAAATACATAACAAAACATCATGTCTGGTACCAAAATTAAGTGGCTGTGGTGTCACACCTCATAAGTTTCTGAATCTGCTGTGTTGTTATGATTGATTATGGGATGTTAAAAGTATGAAATTTGGGTTTCTTCTAATGGGACAATGTTCATGCTGAATTTCATGAAAATCAATTGGTTGGTTTGTTCAAACTCTGAAATTCATGCACTCACATACACACAAACACAGCATGGCGATATAAAGTAGGTTGAGAAATCAAGTGTGACTTTGTGTTATATGAACAGGATTAGGGGCGCTCTTCTTAGCCTTGCTAATACAAGACACTACTTGTCTCAAGAATTTCATTTTCATCCTCAGGTTTTTTTTTTTTTTTTTTTTTTTTGTAATTTTGTGTTAGATTTTGTATGTATGGAGAGGTTGACTGGAATCCATATTTTGTGAATATTTTTAGAGCAGACTACGTACACTTAAGATTGCTCTCTTTGCTTGTTATTACTTTGAATAATTTCTAACATTCACCAGCCACAAACTGGCTGACAATGCAAATTCCTGCTCTGCTCAAAGTATAAGCCTTTTCCCAAATCTAACCACATATTTGTGCTGAGCTTTGTCATGTGTTATACTGATTCATTCATGCCGTGTCATACATCAGATTTATTCAAGGTTGGCCATAATGTGTCTCCACAGAAAAATTACTGTGTATGCACGATTTGAGTACTGTGATAAATGTATTTGCTCTCACTGACAAGTCTCTTCTTTTCTCTGAATTCTGTATTGCTGTCTCCGCTTAACAGTGTTAATGTCACAGCAGTACGCACAGTGTTTAAAATATTTTTGCAGATCACTGTTATGTGAATGATGCTCTTGTGATATGAATGTTTACTCATATCTTTAACCCTTGTCATACCAGGCATACATCTCCTCTATAGACATTCACTGCCCCGTTAAATTATGGCATTGGTTCAATAAAAGTACAATTCAGTATGCTACCACACAGCATTGTTCTTTGAACAGACAGAGTTCACATTCCCTACCACCGTACATTGGACTGATGTAGGTTAAGCAAACCAATAATCCCAAGTTCTTGATACAGCCAAAAATGTATATTTATAATAAGATTCTTGAAGATTTCTGTCTTCTGGGGTGTTGCGCTATGTAGTCTGGTCGATGTTAACCGACGTTTCGGAGGTCATACTGCCTCCGTCATCAGGGCGATGAAGGTTAACATCGACCAGACTACATAGCGCAACACCCCAGAAGACAGAAATCTTCATACTCATCGCCCTGATGACGGAGGCAGTATGCCCTCTGAAACGTTGGCTAACATCGACCAGACTACATAGCGCAACACCCCAGAAGACAGAAATCTTCATACTCATCGCCCTGATGACGGAGGCAGTATGCCCTCTGAAACGTTGGCTAACATCGACCAGACTACATAGCGCAACACCCCAGAAGACAGAAATCTTCATACTCACTGCTGTGAAAACCTCAAATCTTACGATAAGATTCTTATATATAATGTAATTAATTGCAAGAATTGAAATACATGACAGTCAAACACACTTCTAAATTACTGAGTAGACCAAAAGGCATAAGTAGTATAACTGTCCCCCATTTTAAATTGGCTTAGCTGACTCATCTGTAGTTTTTTAGTCTCTTGATACTAACAAGGTATCAGGAGTTGGCGATATCGACGATGATATAAATTCAGATCTCAGGGATTTGATTTAAGAATTATAAGTTTGCTCTGTTGGTGAACATGAAGACTTTACCTACATAACATTGATTGCATGGCTTCTGCTGATGCCCGCAAGGTAAACTTCCAGATTTGTAGTTACTTTGGTTGCAGGTTTGCAACGTTGCAGCTGGAACAGTTCTGAGAGTTTACATGGATTTATTTGCTCTTGGGTTGTGAGTTTGGGTAAATATGTGAATATTAAAGGAACTTGGTGAAGTTATCACAGATTTGTTTTTAATGTAGAATACTGTTGTTTGTGTATGTTTAAAATATCAGCAGCAAGTTATACATCCTGTAGACTGAAACACTTTGATTCATCTCTGGTTTTACAGTATGGCAGTGGATCCTCCAAAGACTTCCTAGCCATAATCCGTAATATTAGGGGGACATACACGTGTTTCTGTCTAATTCAGATTTCCTTTCCACCTTCTTAAGTGTTAAATGTCTTGTGAACATAGACCTACTCATGTTGTCAGCGATAGTTTAGTCACTAGCACATTTTCTTGCCATTTTGAACCATGTAGTTTAGTGAAAAGTATAGAAAAGCCACAATGGATAAATACAGGGTTGTTAATGACTGAAATTGTGATGTCAGCTGTATGCTTACATCACTTGTGGATTGTGATTCAAGCAATTTTAAGTGCTTGATTTTTGTTGTACAAAGTATATCTGCACATTTATAAAATTTCTAAAAATCAAATTTTTTGTCATTATTTGTAACGTTTTAACATGAAAGGTTTAGCATAAATGAATTGACATAATGTCAAGAGTCTTGTGTGATGTATTCATTTTATTTCAGGCAATGTTCACAGGTGGTCTCAAAGAGTGTGAAATGTCACGTGTAAAGTTACAAGGTGTGTGTCCCACTGCAATGGCAAGGATATTACACTTCATGTACACAGGCCAGATAAGAGTGACTGAAGTTACAGTTTGTCAATTGCTGCCAGCAGCCACCATGTTCCAGGTATGTATTGTCATCTTCGACTTTTCTTCTTGCTGTTTTTATTAAATTAAAACAGTCAAGGGGGTTAAGAAAGTACAAATTTTATAACTTCTTAACCTTATTTTGGCTGCTATAAACTGAATTTCATATTGAGGAAATAATTATTACTATGTTAGCGCCTTCTGTCCTGTACTTTTCACTAACTACCATCCCCCTCATCCTGACATGTCCGCCAGTCAGATCTTTAGGAGGATTAAAAATTAACTGTGCAGCCACAGTTGGTATTTCATGGGCCAAATTTTTTACTGTAAACCAAAATTATGACATTTTATACATTAGAAGGGTCACAGCTGTTGTAATCAGAGTTCAGTCACCTTTAAGTGTATTGGTACTTGCAGGCATACCACTTATTGAGACATATTTTCTTTGGGATTTGTTCTGTTTTAAATATTTCTGCAGTGAGGATGGTAAAAAATTATTACATACTGAAATTTTTTTTTTTCTATATGAAGAACGATAGCCTCAATCACAGTGTTTTAGAAACTCTTCCATAAAGTTGGCGTATTTCATGCAAAGACCACTACATCTGTCTACCTATCTAGTCATCTTTTCAACTGTAGCATGATCAAAGCCATCCCAACTGCTCCCTGGTAGTGTGTTGCTAGAAATGAACTTCACATTCCCTGTAGTTTTGGCCCTAGGATGTGTTAAATTCCTCAGATTTCCAGAACCTCTATGATTGTGGGTCCAATCACTGTTATGAAGCACATTGTATCTGACATTTTTTTTATGAATCGTGTTGTGGAGATCCTCTGATATTTTTTTCATGTGACTATAATTCTGTATTATGCGGCAGTTTGATGTATGGTATATTCATAATTTTCTACAGTACATTAATGTAAGTCGCTTTCATGGAATTTTTGTGTGCATTGGTCTTCATTGTGAACGTTGTGAACTTGCTATAAACAAACCACAAAGTTGTCAGGTGTGTTACGGAACATGTTTCCTGTGATCTCTTCAGCAATAGCTCTGGTTTCCATTTGAAACTCGTAAACAGTGTACAGATTGATTTGGTCCGCATGATCTTTGAGGTAGCAGGATTGCAGGAGTTCATGTGCAGTGAATATAGTTGCCAGGACCACCCATACCAAAGACTTTCTGGAAATTGATTCAACAGGATATGGTACCAAACACATCATACAGGATGCCAGAGCTGACATTTGCAGTATGTTTGTGTGCCACAATCCTGCTGAGAAAAATTGCTTACTGATTGCACACAACATCGTACATTTTGTAGGCTGCAGCGAGATTTTCACATCTCTGTGTGGATTTTTGGAGGCCCAGAATCTTTTGTTTTGCTTGTTCATGAACCCACCGAAGCGGAAATGGACTTTATTACTAAACCACAGACAGTGCAAGGTGGCAGGCTGCTGCTGCACAAACTGTAAGAAGTTCCAACAGAACTCATGTCTCTGCTGTTTCTTGGCTGCAGTGAACATATGTACTAATCGGATGTTGTCAGGATACATCAAATCCCATGTGTTGTTGTTCTTTTGATACTGACTGACAGGGAACATGTCACATTTTCTTGGACTCTGAAGCAATGATTCACATACACAGGCAACGTTGAATTTCCTCTGAAACGGTCTTTGCACTGTTACAAATTCCAGGCAACGTTGAATTTCTTCTGAAACGGTCTTTGCACTGTTACAAAAGTGCGGGTATGGTGAAGTGTTTTGATAATAAACACATCTTCTCCATGCTCTATACTATCTTATACAGTGTGGGCTGTTTACTCAACTGCAAACTCTTGACATTACCACATCAAGTGATATCACCTTTCACTTTTTCCACTAGTCACTCAGACTGTTGCATGTTTTCCTGAGTATGCTATAGAATTCAGGATCAGCTATTTCAGTATCACGTGGTATGTTCCAATGTTTGTGAAGAACATAAATGGATGGTGAATCCCCTGTGATGTTTGGTAACACTAACAGTCATTATGTGGTGTTATTTTTAATGAAAGATATTAAATAATTTCATGCAACAGTTATTGAAGTATTTCATGCCAACAGTGTTCTCGGGAAGAAAGGTATCAAACACTAGGTGGCTGAATGGTGAATAAACCATATCTTCTGCCAGCGTTTCGAGACGTTGGCAGAAGATATGGTTTATTCACCAGTCAGCCACCTGACACGGCTCATAACCTGAGTGTCTTTCATCAACTTCAGTCGCCACGAAAGCTTCACTTTATGTATCAAACACTACGAAGGTATTCAAATATCAAAGAAAATCCTCTCAGTTTTCATTATGATTTCAAAAATGTTTTAATTTTAAACATGTATGTGAACGAACAGGACACTGAGTATATTGCTTTTGGAAGAACTGTTAAGGAGGAGTGTATTTGTTTTTTATTATTATTTTTGCATTCTACATATGAATGATTGAGGTGTTATATACATATTGTTTTTCATGGGAACCATATTGTGAGTAAAAGTTATAGGACAGGATTCCTTCCTTTTATTTAAATCTCTCAGTATTACAGTTCATGCTTGAAAGGAAAAGAAAATTAGAGGAATATTAAGAAAAGTTAGAATGATTATGAAATATGAAGTTGTGACACAGACCTGTTATACAGAATGATTCTCTCACTTGAGGTCCCAAACATTAAACAGTAATATCATTATTTATTCACCTGTGGTGATAAATATTGTAGTTATGTACCTCAGTCCATGTGAACCACATCCCACCACGTATGTTGCTGAAAGTGGTCATACCTGATGTTCATGTACAACTGAATGTAATGTTCCAAGTTTTTGGGAGACTGGTGTATTGTTACAAGACCTGTGACCACCAAGATATTATCTTGTTGGTCCTACTGAAGGGAAAGTCTGCATGAACAATTTAGTGACATCAAAAAATATGTTTGCCAGGAGACTGAAGCCACAAACTTGTTACAGTATGTATTTTTAGCTTGGGGCATAATGTGTGGACATACATGGATGTAGGGGATGACCAATTTCAGCATGTTTTACGAGGAATGAAATAATGTACACTGTGCATAACAAAAATCAAGTGCCTAAAATTTAATATGTCTGAAACTGGCAGTAATATGTGCATACACCTGGTGTCATATTTCCAGTCATTAGTAATCTCTTTGTGTTTGTCCATATGTGGTTTTTATTTACCTTCCTTTAATTGCAAATAGTGATGCCAAATGTCTATTAAGCAAAGACACCAATATGTCTGCCTAATTTGAAGACAAACATGAATTAATGCTTCTGAGTTATCCAAGGCTTGTGTGTAGGTTCCACAGAAAAGTGATGGAGAAGACTATTTTTCATTTGGCTGTATATATTTGTTGGTAGACAAGTGGTTAGCATATTAGCACTGACTCAAGGGTCATGTAAGCCAATTTTAGTGTTAATGTTTGCTTTTTTTCTCCCTGAACTATATATGTTGTATTCACACAAATACACATTTAAACTATGCAGTTGTGTATTATTGAGCTGTATATTTCAAATTCTCCGTGTGGAACTCGTGCTGAGAGCATTTGAAAATAGACACCAAATTCTATAGATTGTGATGTTCAAAAGGTATTGTGTAATAGTTTTTTATCTGTAAAGCATACTTAGTCTAGTACATTTTTGTTAATGGACAAAATATAACATTATTACTGTACTATTTGTACTGCAATAGCAAGGCTAGAAGTGTGAGGAAGTAAATATATCTTATTTTTCCATGATTTGTTGCTTATTGGCATCCATGTTCAAATCTGACTGTAGACAAACAATCCAATAAAAAAAAATACGTACTTAGAGTCATCTTTGCTTTGTAAAATTTTCAAGTTGCATGTACAAAGTATGAATTGGTATGTTAATCCTTGAAGGAGCTGTTTTGAAGACCTGGCATCTTTAATAAGATGTCCAGAATCTCTGAGCTTCAGGCACAGATCCCACTTTTCTCAGTGGGACTTGGAGACTGAACATAACGCTGAGATGAAACAACTTCATCCCAACCATGTGATACAAAGGTCATTAGATTGTCTCTATTTCGTGAAGGAAGGTCAAGTCATGTTTCGTGTATGGTTTTCTTCACCCCACTTTACATATTCATGATGGGTTCATTTAAGGCTCTCATAGTGGGTAGTCAATGGAAAAACGTGAAAGAAAATATATTCACTTCAATACATTTTTCAGTTGTGGGAATTATTTCTCCCATTAAACTTGAAAGTGTTACCTAATTCCCCTTAACCTCATCCAGTCTCATTTTCCTAACCTAACCCAACTCTCTGGTCTAATCCAACATAACTTTACCTGAACAAACCTATCCCAACTGACTTAAATAAAATCCTTTTAACCAATGTAACCATATTGACCGCAACCAGGAAAACCAATGTTACCGTGGCTTTCATGGAGTCAGTGGTAACTATGGCAAACAGTGTTACTGAATAAAATATTATAGCATTGTAACCATGGTAAACAAACAAATTCCATAACCCTATTGCATGTTCTATTGTCTAACCAACTTCATAAATTTCTTCTCATGCCATTTTATTATAACCGTTGGTAGGAATTTCAAAAGCAGTCCCCAGTGGCACAACCTCCCTACAAAATTTTATCCAAATCTGTCCAGTGGTTCTTAAGTTCAGTCATTTGGACAGACGCAACCAAACAAGACACTGTGAGCCCAAAATACATTCCTTTCATGCACTTTATGCAAATAATGCATAAAAAGTCTCACTAGGCGAATGGAAGGGGTTGAGTATAAACTTTTCACCGGCAGTTTATTCTCTGTAGATTTCTTTGATTATCTGCGCACAAGAGCTTATTTGGAACTATCAGACAGAATCATATTTGAATGCCAGAGGACTTTGACAACAAGAAACTCATGCTAGGGTAACAGGTGTCTTGACAGTGATTTTGAAGATAATGAGATGTATGCATGCTGACAGATGTGCATAAACCACCATGAAGGTAATTTCTGTGATGAAAACAGGGGAGTTCATAAACCTGCCATTGTTGAAGCACATTGATTATTTTGACAAGTGGGCAGAATGGCTAATAACTATTCAGTTATTTGGAGAACTTCCAAGTGAACTAAGACATTATTTTTCACCTGTTGGATCAAACAATATTGAATAGTTACATCTTTTTAACATTTTGTGGTAGCAAATTATTGCACTCAACATATTGTCTGACTTTAGTTGAACATTTGTTAGAAATGATTTCAAAGGAGCCTTAATGTCATTCCAGCTGAAGAGAAAAACCAAACTCACAAACCAGTAAACTGACTCATATTGCATTTTAAGACACTGAACACTGGCCAATTGCAGGTTGGTGCTTGCAGTGCTGTGTATTCAGTGAAGACGAAAACAACTACTCTCTGTGGATGGATGTCTGCTGGAATATTTCTTGACTGTCCCATGAATTTAAAAATTCATTCAGCTGTGCAGTTGTCAAAACATTGACTTCTCATCTGTTGTGTTTTGTCAAAGATATTATTACCCTCTGCTTCATAGTGAGTCATGAAGGCCCTGTTTGTATTGAGATGCTCCTGCTTCGTTCCATGTGTCAACTGACATGGGGACCAATTTATTTACACATTGTTGAATTCCAGCAGAGGAGATTACAGATTGAACAGACACTTATTTGAAATGCTATAGCAAGGATATCCAGAGTTACTAAAGATATTTATGAATTGGGTGTTTTGATTCTGCAACACTGTCGGTAGTAACACCCTGTAGCTTGTAGGATTTGAGGTTTTCATAGCGGTGAGTCTGAAGATTGCTGTCTTCTGGGTTGTTGCACCGTGTAGTCTGGTAGATATCCACCAACGTTTCAGAGCCTCGGTCATCAGGGCGATCAAATGGCTTGACTGATTTTCTTCAAATGCGGTATGAATGTTATGCCATTTCAAAGTACTTTGAACTCAAACAATATCATTTCAACAGAAAAATCTTAATTATGTTATAACATAGTGAAATTTCTGCAAAATAAGTGATCTTCGGATGGGTAATGGATCTGAACACTAAGCTGATGAAAATCTGAAATGGAGGAGGAGTTTGCACTGAGGGTGGTGTCGAAGGTAGAGACATTTAATGTTAAATGAAGGAAAATACAATACTTAATTGGAGATTCCACTGTATATTTTCTTCTGTATTAAAATTTTACATTATAGATGTTTTAAGTAATATTTAACACTCAAATCACAAGATTTTAGAAACGAGTCAAAAAGACGGTAGTCTTCATCTCTGTGGCTTGTTAGTACTTGATTTCACACATGCCTCTGTTGCAGAATGTGATGTCTTGTACCTGTGTTCACATGTGATTCTACCAGCCATAGTGCATATGCACAGGTAGCAGACATAGAACAAAGGAAAAAAAAATAAACAACTTGTTTGTTGTGAGTGCGTTTCATTGAAACAGTTGTTTTAATTTACATTAATTACACCTATAATTTGCAAATGGCAATGACCTAAGAAAGAAATAAGAAGCATTACTTCGTAGCAGAACTTCTTAAGTTGTTTATCTAACATTTGTGTAGGACTGGGTGATAATGTGAAATTAAGTTGTTCTCTCCAGATGCTAATTAGGTACAGTAATCTATGAAGCTACCTTTCCCTTCCCAATGAAACTTAGTTTTTCTTAGAAACTGAATAAATACTGTTACAGGTTACTAATGTCATCGATGCATGCTGCGTATTTCTGGAACGTCAGCTTGACCCCACAAATGCAATTGGTATTGCTAGCTTTGCAGAACAACATGGTTGTAAAGATCTGAACCACAAAGCAACTCAGTTTATTGAGCAACATTTTACTCAGGTTTGTGAATTCAAACATGAAAATAGAATGAGATCAGCCCCTCTCGCATCCAGCCTGCCATAATTACCACCCATCTTTCATCTTATATGTACCTCCAGCATTTATAACAACAAAACAGAATGTCAAAAAATGTATTGTGCCATGTCATGGAAATTGTAGATCACAGAACTTTTCCGCTTCAGTCCCTGCACTATCCTGAAAATGCTTGGTCCGAGAAGCTTTCACTAAAGAAGAAGGTGAGTAAGAAATGCATTGGCTTTATATGTCTTGGTTAAAACAGGTATCTTCCTTTGTAGTTAGTCATACTGGTGAAGTTCTTGACTGGCTGCATTTTTAAGGGGCACAAAGTTAATAGTACAGAAATGATGTTGATTAATAAACTTTTTGTAGAGAATGGTCTTCATCAAAACAATTCACACTCTTGTCATATCCAGTACTATGAGGATTCTCTTTGCCTCGTAGGACTCTCCAGTATTCATAAAACAGTAAGGCTATGGACTGAACAACTAGCACTTCATTTTCAATAAGGGCAGGGAATTTTTTTATTTGCTACCATGTCCAGACCAGCTTTGGTGCTCTCACAGCCTCTGTCCACTGGATACCAGAGACACTTTCCCAGAGATTGCGGTTAAGCAACCAAAGATGATCCTGACCTAGTACCAATATTAAGATAGCATGGAGTCTACCTCCACGGCATCACATATCTTCAAGGCATGGTGTTTACACATTCACTACTGCAGAAATTAAGTGGATGACTGAGTCCAGCAGCTTGTTTTTTAAGGGGTCATTTTATATTAAATCAGGGCAGGTTGGAACCAACTCTGATTTTAATTAAATCTTGGTCACATTCTATAATAAATTAGAAATGAATGTGTGCAAATTTTTATGACACTATTCCAGTTATTTCAGGAGATACTCTCATCTAAAACTTTTAAGAATGGGGGAATTTGTGTCATGAATGATCACAAATTTAATTCAAACTCAAGATCTACTTGACATACAGAGCTGAAATTGGGCTTATTCTAATGCACTAGCAGTGAACTTTAAAATGATGTGTGATAGAACGTCATTACATAGTAAAGAATTTCAAGGTAATTACATTTAAAATTTGACCTTGGATTTTTCAAGAAACTACAGTTTTAAAATTGTTAAAAAATTAAATATTGCAGGTAAATACTAGCATATTTACATACATATGTATGCTTAAAGTTTGAAAATAGACATTTGAAAACACTTCAGAAAATTAAATAATTTGTTAGTTGGTTAGAAGACACACAGGTCATGGCATTTAAAAGTAAGGCTTTGTGAAAATTTTACTAGGCTTTCTCTCAACAGATGACATCATAGGTGTTGTTAATGATTTAAAGAAAGTTTAATTAGTTTTCCCTGTAGATTGCAGCACAAATGCAGAACATGATGATTTGAAACAGGTCACAACTTATTGCTTTCCAGAAACTGCAATATGTTCATTTTTCTGTGTGCTGATAGGTGTTTTCCTTTTGTGAAACGAGAGCATTTCTTCAACTTTTCTTTCAGGTGTATTGTTATGAAAGTTGACTTCTGAACCTGTGAATTGAATTCCTTTAAGAATGTTTGAACAATAAATATCCATTTCATGGTAAAATTTATCCCAAGTGTAGAATTAAATTTTATAAAATGAGAAAAACCTGTGACCTATATGGCTAGCCAAGAACAGATGCCAGTGAACTACAAAATGTTCAGCAAGATGAATATGATGCATCCAGTGAAGCAGAAGATGTCAGTGCTTCAAATGTTGCTGCTGATATACTGAACAGTAGTAGCCTACAAGCTACAGGAGAATTACCAATTAAGAATATGCAGTTGCAAGGAAAGAAATATCTTAAGAAAAAGATCACCTTTGTAGTAAAAAAAAAATTACGTGTCAGCAAGTGAAAATGAAGAAGATGCACCTTCTGGTTAGTACTGATTCAGAAAGTTAAATTTAAAACCAGTAATAGAAGCAAACAGGTACAAATTTATGACTTTATCACAGAGTTTAAATGTAAGAAAAATAACACAAGGGTTTGGAGCACCAATTACTTGGCTGGAAAAACCAAAGAACTTGTAAAAGTTAATGAGACACTACATACTCCAAATCCTAAACCTGGTAAGATGCTAAAATATGAATCTCAGAAGAAGCACATTCATGAATTTTATGATGTTGATTAAATTAGAAGATGCGTGCCAGGGAAAAAAAGATTTTTGTATCTGTAAAAGAACATGGAAAAAAAAATTCACATACAGAAACAGTTCAGTGCTACATGAATGGAGCATACTCATTATTTAAGCAGTAGTATCCCAATAAAAAAATTGGATTTTCCACATTCTGCGAAATAAGGCCAAGGAATGTAGTTATAGCTGGAGCATGTGATACTTATTCAGTATGTCTATATATAGCTCACATTAAACTACAAATTTAATATTAATAAGAAGAAAACTAAAAGAACTTACAGCTGGGTTTAGTACTGAAAGAACTTGCAAAGGCCATCTGTGATATTATGTGTAATTTTTTATTTCATATTGAATAGTACTTAAAGCAGATGTTTACAGTTGATGAAGTGACATACAAACAACAGACAGGTCAACATTAGAAAGCATTACTTATTGAGTAGAAGTTTTGGACATATTTGAAAAACTGCAGGTTTTGCTATGTCATTTATCCACAGCAGTAGAACAGTCTAGTTTCCAAAATGAGCTCAAGTTAGACTTCAACACGAACAAGTTGCTCTGTGCAGTTTTGCTAGGAAATGTTCTTTTATTCTGCAAAATGAAGTTTAATGAATAACTGGAATAATGTCCAAGCCACAACTCATGCTTTTGTTATTTAGTCAAAAAATGCAGACATTTTGAGCCACACAAGTTATGTTGTATTTTCAAACTGTCTGTCTCATGATACAGTAGCTTTATCAAGGCACTTAATATTGTTTATATTGAGAAGATTTCATATTATGCCAATTGAAACGAAACTGTACCATACCATATCTATCAGTTCTCTGATGGAACTGCTGCTGAGTATGAAAATAGAAAATTTTATCAGCCTGTGTTTCCATGAAAGGGATTTTTGTGTCAGTGCTGAATGGCATTTTTATGCAACATTCCGTGGGAAGGATCTTAAAATAATGACTGTTCTCCAGTTTTATAACTTATATATGGACAACAGTGAAATGTGTTATTTTGAGTAAATAACATCCCTCCAATACAAACAAGGAAGAACAGCTGCAAGAACAATCCAACAATGCATGTACCATCACTGGTACCCATTGGATGGCTTCATGTATTTGTCCCAGTCAGTTTAAACAGATTGAAGACAAATATGTATTCAAATTTTGAGAAGTTTAAGGAAGGAAATTCAGCATCATTGCATGATGAGATGGATTATGAGAATATTACAGGCTTTGTTGCATGTGAATATGACTAAGTGATGTGTTGAGTGTGTGCTTGTTGCACAAGAATCAACAGACACAGTAAGATAATATTCTTGTACCCTAATAGGGCATTACCATCATACTGTACTCCACAAGACTGGACATTCTGGAAGTCCCCAAATATCTTGATGAAAGTTGATTTATGCATTGTTACAGGAAGAACATAACAGTCTCAGAGCTGAGGAGAATGACAAAATGAACAAGAAACACGCTTCCTATCTTAAATAGATAAGGTTAGTGTCAGAAAACTGAACTACGTGTATGTCTTCTAACATACTGACTACAATAAATGGCTGAAGTTATGTATATAAGAAATTCTAAAATGTGACCATTAGCAGTATACAAGTATAGTAGCTAAACATATTGATAGTTACACCTCCAAATTTTCAGTGTATGTTGAATTTGTATTGACTTATGACATAATGTTTACATTTTGAAATTATGGGTTTTTTAAAGTACAGTGTTAAAGTATATCTTGTATGGCCTTGAACGGTTTTTGTGTTAGTGCATGTGATGTGATTGATCATTTTAAAGTTTATTTCATGAGCTTTAAAATGACCCCAAGTTCAGTTCTGTTTGTTAGGTAGAATCAATGTTATGACAACATTTGTGACCATTTGTGCATCAGTTTTTACAATTTAAAATTGTGGACGTCAGTAACTTAAAAAATATTTCAAATACACATCTGAGAATTTGCCTACATTTATTTCTGATGTGTCATAGCATGTAAAAAAAATTTCATTGATATGATGGAAGGTGAGGTTGAAAAAAGTATATCAGTGTGTTGATTTGACATGGAATGCCTGTAAGGGTATAAGTGAGATGTAATACATGATATGGCAGTTGTACTATTTTTTTCTCAAATGAGCCTTCAAAATGTCTCATACCACTTGTGTTCATAAATGTTGGTTCATATTGCATGCTAATCGAAGTCCAAGATACCTGAGGCACTGGGGACAGTAGTACATTGAAATTTACTCGTTAAATTGCATTGCATACTTTACAATACTTTGGAAAGTCTTCCCGTTATTGATAATGTGTTGCCTTAAATGACTGGGTTTCGTTGTTGTAAGGTAAGTGCGGTAAGGTTGCACATTTCACAGTTTCTTGAATAGAAAAAACATGTTCAGTAACAAATTAAATTTCAAATACATAACAGGTTTTATTTACCTATTGACTGCAAATGTCAGGCATAAAAATAAACCATAAACATATGTACTTTTAGCAGTAACGCTTTAAGAAAGTTTTAAAAAGTGCACACTTGGACACCTGGGTGCAGAGTGGAGTACAAAAGTGTGCATGTATTATAATTTAACAGCAGTCACGCAGAAAGCTGCCAC